AGGAAGAAAATGCAATGATGTGTGTGAGTCGCCACCCTTGTTTAATTTATTTCAGGAGTAAACTAGGAAAAAACCCTAAAAGTGACTCGCATTTTAATTAACTAATTACTAGAATTAATTATCCCAATGTTAAGGCATAGCGCTACGAACCCGAGGCGGATCCCAAGGACCATGTCATGTGATTAAACTAACCAATTGAAATGGATGCTTATGCAAGCGTGAAGTTGATTAATGGACCAATTGAAAGTGATTATCGGATTGCGCTCGGGTTAAATCCCAAACGTGCCTACGAACTTCCATTTGGATGGAAAAGATCAAAGTCAACGTTAGTTCGATAGGCCTCTTGTTAAGAGCTTTGAATGAGGTATGCTTAATGCATGGCTGATGTGTATGCTTCGTGTTCATTTGTTTAGCATTTGCCTGAAAATTGATTGTTTAGGCATTTGATGCCAAAAATGTTGATTTTAGGGTTTAGCCCAAAAAAGATTTGCTTTAGGCAATTGTTGCCACAAAATTTGATGTGATTAGGCGATTGTCGCCAAAACTTTGATATTGAAGGCTTTAAAGCCCAAAACATTGAATTTAGGCATTTATGCCAGAAAATGACGGTGGCGATGAAAACAAAAGATGATTGGGCGATTGTCGCCAGAATTGGTTGATTTAAAAAGCCTTTTATTTGCCAAAAGTATTAATGAAGGCTTTTAGCCAAACAATTGTGATTTAAAGCGATTTGTCGCTAAAAAAAGGATTCAATCTCACTTATAGGCAATTTGTTTGCCAAAATGATTATTTAGGCGATTGTCGCCAAAATGATTGATTTAAGGCTTTTAGACCAAATAAGTTGATTAATTTAAGCATTTGCCGAAAGAATGATTTAAGCGGATTTGTCGCTGAAAGTAGTTAATCGTAGTTTATACGGGCCAAATGTGTTTGCCAAAAATTTGATTAACGGGATGTAATGTAGGCAATTTTATGCTAAGAAAAAAACATGTTTGAAATTAAAGCTTTTAGCCACAATTATTGATTAATTGGGACTTAAGCCAGATTGTTCGGAATAAAAGCGATTAAAAACGTAGTTATTAATTAACTAGTTCCTTAGCCAATATTGTCGGATTTTAGGCTTTAATACCACATTATGATTAACCGGATCTTAGCCTGAATAATTATGAGCCAATTTATTTTGCCATATTGATGACGTGAATGCATTTAGCAGTTATAAGAACATTATTAGGAGAGAAGAGAAAGAATGTATGAAATGCTAGAATTAAATAGGCAGCAAGTTAGTTCATGTACCGGGATTAATCGACAGCCACTTCTTAACTCCAGGTTAAGCTCCTCGTTAAGGGAATATTAATGTAATTTAATAAAATGACCAAAATAACAAAGCAAGAAAATTAATAAAGCTGAATAAAAAATGCGAAAGCGAGTAAAGAATCGCAAGGCAGCGTAAGGGGAGAAGGAGCTCCGTCCAACACAGACTAAGTGTTTAAAACTGGAGGGCTTCGGGGTGCCCAATTTATAGGGCAAAATCGGGACTTTTCGGCGGCGCTGAGCCGTGGCCCGGTTCGGCGCCGGGCCGCCGCCTCGGTGGCTGGGCCGGCCGTTCTGGCTTGAGTTTTTCGACTCCGGAGGCTTTTCCGGAGTTTCGGACCTCCAAAAAAATATTCCGGCGACCAATTCCGTTGTCCTTGTAATTTTTCGGACGTTTCAAGTTACCATATTGGCAATACTTCCGGTGACTTCCATAATGGCTTTTGTCGGACCGGACTGTTCGACAGTCCGGAAAAAACTGGCTTTTTTTGAGCCTCAAAAATTAGGTATTCACAGGCGACTGCCAAGCCGCTGTCGCCGGCGGCTGCCGCCGCCTTAAGGGCGAACCACCACCGCCGCGCCGGGAAAACCGCCTTTTTTTTAGCCTCAAAAATTGAGTATTCAACAAAGGGACTTCAACGCTTCTTCAAAGCTTTATTCTATACAGGCCCAGATCGCCATTCAATACTTGATCCTACGGGGTCCTCTTCTTCTCAGGCTCGCCTCCCTTATTCTTCTCTTCCTTTTCCCTCTGGGGCAGCTTGCCCTCTTCTTGCTCTTTTTGGCTTCTCCTCTTCCTGCCTTTGCCTCTCGTCGGCCTTCAACCCCACTTTCTCGGTTTTTCGTCTTCCACTTTCTTTGTTCTTTTCCTCTAAAGCTAGAATCCTTGGGGCTATCGCCGCTAAGGATATTCAATCACATTCTCAAAATCATGAGATATTGGGTACCGTCTTCCCCTTATTGCTCGAAAGGCTCTATCGGCGGACATAGAGGAAAATGCTCACTCCGAATTGGATGAATCGTCCATCCGATGTCCACCGTATTGTTCAATGGTGTTGCTCCCAAATTTGGTTACCCCAGGGCCCAGGCAATTTCTTTTTGGTGTAGATCCTTAAGTGACTTTGTAATGCCTTTACTGATTCTTTCGAAAGCCCTCTTTTCTTCCATAGTTCATTCTCTTCATGATGTTGGAGACAGTGGCCCCATTTTAGTGCTCCAAACAGCATCTGAAAACTCGGTCCAATGGGAGGGATACTGGCTTATCCACATTGAGCTGTAGCTACACTCCTTCACTTGCAACTGGAATGGTTGATGATTTCACCATTGGAAAGAAAATTTGATCTATGTGTAGCATTGATGGTACTCCTCCCAAGGAATGCGTTACTAATGGGCACCAAGAGCTAGGGTAAATTGTTGGGATGTCAAATACAATGGAATTCGATCTCCTTTTAATTGGCCCAACTTGACCACAGTCTTGAAATACCCCTCAACTTGTCTCTTCGAGTCATGTAGGCTCTAAATCAACCAAATCAGAAAGGCTCTAAAATCAGACAAAGTTTCCATCTTAACCATTAGAAAGCAGCTTCAAAGGACATTACATCAGGGCTGACCCTTCATCTATCATTACATTCCAGTAACTTCTCACCTGTGACCTCAGCCTTTTATAAACAATGTGAATACCCAAAAATTTGAGGCTCAAAGAGCCAGTTCTTCCCGGACTGCAAACAGTCCGGCCGTGCCGGAGGCCATTCGAAAAGTTCACCGAAGTATGCCAATAGGTACTTGAAACGTCCGGGAAATATATTACGACCGATCACCGAAATGGTCCCAAAATATTTTGGAGTCCGAAACTCCCGGACAAAGCCTTCCAGAACGAAGAAAGTAGCAAACCCACCGCCCCTGGTGGCATCGGGTCGCCAGCCCGGCAGCTCAGGCTGTCGGCCCACGGCGGCTAAGCCACCATCCCATGCGCGGCTCCGGCACGCCGAAAACAGTTCTATTTGCACTATAAATAGTCGTCCCGGCACTCAGTTTGAGGCACTCAGTCTGTGTGACGGACGCTCCTTCTCCCCCTACGCTCCTTGCGATTCTTTACTGCTTTTCTGCATTTTAAATAGCCTTTATTGCTTTCTGCTTGTTAATTGGCACTAAATTTGAATTTTAATTAATATTCCCCTAACGAGGAAGCTAACCTGGAGTAAAGAAGTGGCCCAGTCGATTTAAATCAGGTACATTTAAAACTAAAACTCTGGCCTATTAATTTAGCACTTCATGCATGATCTCTTCTACTCCTAATTCTACCAACTAACATAAAATGCATTCATGTCATCATTAGGCAAAATAAACTGCCTCAATTAAAGGATTTTAGGCGTAATAATGCCCGGTTAATTAATAATCGTGGTATTATTCTAAATCGTGTACATATATTGGCTAAAAGGTCCCGTATCAAAATGACTATGGTATAATCGCCTTTAGTCGAACAGTCCGGCCTAAACAATTAATTGTGGCTAAAATGCCCTTAATAAAACCACGTTTTTCTTTACAATTAAAATTGCTACATTGCAAATCAATTATTTTGCTTTTGGCAAACAAATGGCCTATAAGTAGATTAATCTTTTTTAAGCGACGAATCGCTCTTAAATCGAAATTTTGCTAAAACGCCTTGAATTAATCAATCTTTTGGCTAAAAAGCCTTAAAATCAATCAATTTTGGCGACAATCGCCCAATTTCAACAATTTTTGGCAATAAACTGCCTAAATCAAACTCATTTTGGCCTAAAAGCCCCTCAAAATAATCATTTTGGAGACAATCGCCGAAATCGCATCAATATGCAAACAATGCCGAAATCAATCTTTTTGGCTAAAAAGGCCTTAAATCAAAGAACCCATTTTTGGCCAACCCAAATGCCTAAAACATCAAAATCAAGTTCAATTTCTTTGGCAAAAATGGCGCTAAAACGAAATGCAATAATAGCATAAGCCACACACCCATGCATTAAGCATACCCCATTCAAAGCCTTGTTAAAAAGGGCCCCACTTGAACTACGTTTGACTTGATGCTTCCATCAGGTTGAGAGAGATTATCTCTCTCT